ATCTATAGCAAATTTGAAGAGATTATTCTGATGGAGAACGCGCATGGCTGGTCTTCACTATAAGCTGTCCAAAACATCCGTGAAATCAGAATTTATGAAGTGAATTAGTTCAGAGATATGATCGATTGAGACCCTTTTCGCATTTTTGTTTTACATTGAATCAGAGAATGGAGAAAACGAAAATTATAGATTGGTAATTCAAGCAATAGATTTTGCACCGAAGTGAGTCAAAATTTCGTGTGTGCAACCAAAAGAAATGGCATAGAGGTGAGTCTGCCAAAATTTCAATCCGAAATTCTTCTAGATTATTCGATTCTATAGAAAGCTAGATTGTCGAACTGTTGGAACTATACAGATGCAATCCGTGCATGATAAATATGAGTTCTCATGCGATGGCGTATTTGGTTTGTCTGCGGAAGGGGAATCGCCGGAGGAGGAGTCTGCGATGGGGCAGTTCCTTCGGAATTCTGCTTGCAAGGAGAAGAAAGTCGCATTCTGGTTGAATAGAGATTTCGGTGCGGAAAACGGTGGAGAGGTGACGATTTGTGGTGTGGACAAAAATCATTATCAGGTTATACCTCTTCGAGAATTTCAGACAATAGCTAGTGCACAGACTTTCGTCGCAGCGACCCTTTCCCATATCAACATGTCACTTTATCGGTTTGTATTATATCGTTTGACTCGGTGCATCTCGTTAGCACCTTGTCATGATTGGGATAAGATAGAGAACTGATGAGTAATAAAACGGGTAATTGTACGGGAAGCCATTCATAACGATGGTTTGATCTGTGAAGTGTGATCTCGAATGGATTCCGCTCGAGCATGGACCACATTGGACTGTTCGAATGGATGACGTGCGTATTGGTCCGCATCGGTTATCGCTATCTTCCGGCANGGGAATTCTCAAGGAATTTTTTTCATTAGTGACTTGGCTTTTTTCAATGAATTTCTCACTAGTGACTGGGCTGAATCGGTCAGGTTACATACCCATTTGGATTTTTTTTATTGTTTGAGTCAATGTGATCCATTTAGCATCCTAGCGGGTGGATTTTAGACGAACTTTATTCAGGGTGTGAAGGAGCCTTTTTGAATTACGGCTAACGAAATGAATTAAAATTGGTTGCTTGTTGGACCATTCCAGATAGCAGCGACCTTGAATGCGTCAGTAATAACGGTCATGGATCATGAAATACTGTCATGTCGCTGTTCGAGCGTTGATGAGCTTCCAACATTGACGTTTGTTTTGCATGGGCACCAATTCAGCATTCCTCCGGAAGTATATGCAATGAAGGTGATAAATTAAATCGGATGATACCGTTCTGATTTGCTGCTCGATCACTCTTAATCTCCTCGAATCAAGGCTATTACCAATATCGCATTCATTTTTCATAAAACAGTTAGGCTAAATCAGTAAATTTTTTCATCACTATACATCATCACAGATAGGTAACTTGTATCAATGCTCCTCAATATTCTCTAAATTACAAGCTCCAACGAGCAACTGCATTCATCAATCCTTAATCCTTAATTTGATTAAAAGAGACAGGAAAACGGATAATGCTGCAGTAATGTAATGTGGAATGAAGAGTGGATATTAGACCAAACACGATTGGTTTGA